TGGCATTTTGTGGAAGAGCCACACTCAAGGGGCCAAAGAGCCTCATGTGGCTCGCAAGCTGCGGTTTGCCGACCATGGATCCTAGACTGAACCTGGCCCTTTGCCATGAAGACTAAGCAGGGGATACTAATCAGCAAGCAAAATATCTGACTGGCCTTTAAGCCTGGCACTTCTTGGGGTTCCTCAGCCCTCTTCTCCTCCAGAGCCGCATGTAGCTCGCGAGCTGCAGTTTGCCAACCATGGATCCTAGCCTGAACCTGGCCCTTAGCCGTGAGGACTAAGCAGGGGATACTAATCAGCCAGCAAAATATCTGACTGGCCTTTAAGCCTGGCATTTCTGAAGGTTCCTCAGCCCTCTTCTCACCAGGATATTCATTCTAATACTTTCAGATTCTATCTATATATTGATCATGATCAATTCTATAATTTCAACCCAGAACTCTCCCCTGAGGTTTAGTTTCACATAATCCGAAGGCTAGTAGGCCCCTCGTGTTGGATGTTCCTTGGCTATCCCGTGAAATTAGTCATCCCCTCCCGCCCCTCCTGCCCCTGCTTTAACAGGCGTGTCTACGCTGGTGAGTGACACACCATCCACCCGATTTCTCCAAGCAAGTATCAGGCTCAACTCCTCGTTCCCTACATCTCCCTTCAACACACACAAATATACCTTCACTCTCTGTCTTCCTTGGTATTTCCAGAATTCATTTAATTCTTTTCACACCCACTGCCACTCTCTTCACCTTCACTGCCACTCCCAAAGCTTCCTACATGTCTAGCTCCGGATCTTGTCCCTTTCTAATTCTCTAAGTGCAATTAAAACACAATTCAGATCATATCACTCCTCTGCTTGAACTCTTCCCAAAGTCCTTTATTGTCATCTAAATAAACACTATCTCAGCAACCACTAGTTCTCAGTTCCTCCAGTGCCGCCCCCCTTCTCCTCACTTGTACTTGGCTAAGTTTGTTTATTATTTCCTCTGGGAGACCTTCCCTGCATTCCTCTGTTCCCACAGTTCCTTGTGCATAACCTTCATAGCACTTGTATTATTTTACACTTACCTGCCTGTCTTCTTCATCATACTCTAAGTGCCAGGAGGGAGGGAACTGAGTCTAGTTCAGCATGGTGGTCCCAGTGCCTGGTAGGTGTTCTGCAAATATTATTGTGTGAGTTAATGAACTGACCCACCTCAACCAAAATCACCATCACTGATAAGTGATTAGTGTATGTATATGTGCCCTACAGCATGGGAACAAAATACAAAATGGGAAAATCTTATACTGTGAATCACTCATGGAAATATTTGATTCTTGCTCTATTGAAAAGGTATTAGAATGAACCATATAAAAAGGCAAGATGATTAACTCATTGACAAATGAGTAAAGTGGCCCTTTTGGGTGCTAGGCCTTTGGAAATACTGAGGTGTTTAAGGCCTGGTGATGTTCTCCAGGAGTTCAAAGTCGAATGGGTGATAGACTCACAGGATGCTAAAGTGAGGGAAAACACAAAGGGAATCCAATTTAGCCCCTCATTTTACAGAGGAGATCTAGATGCTTTCTACAGTGTCTTCCAAATGATTCAATAGTTCTATAAAAAGAGAACAACTTTCTGGTTACCAACACTTTCCCACCTTCAATTAATCTACTTCCTTAGAAAGGGAGCATTGTATCAGCAACGCTATGAAAATATAGCTAACATAAGCTCGCCTTGGAAAGGAAAAAGATGTATAGTCTGCCAAAAGTGCTGGGAGGATCAATATCTATCTGAAATCTTGGCATCATAAATGACTTAGGGGGGGAAAATCTGTCTGTATGAAATAGTTAAAATATGATCAGCCATTGGCAGTTTGGTTCAGTGGATAGAGCGTCGACCTGTGGACCCGAGGCTAGAATGCAGTCAAGGGCAATTTTCTGGTTATACACCCACACTTTCCCCACCTTCAATTTACTTCCTTAAAAAGGCAGCATCGGTTGTAGGCTCTATCCCGGGCCCTGCAACTAATTGGTGTATCTTTCTCACATCAATGTTTCTCTCTCTAAAAAAATAAAATAAAAATAAAAAAAAAAGCAATGGAAAAATATCTTCAGGTGAGAGGATTAAAAACAACAAAATTATCACTCATTAAATCATCAAGCTGTGCTGGCAGGATAGGGGAAGAATTTGGTTACACAGTTGTTTGACTCAAGTGTTTCCCTGGCCAGAAATCGGTTTTAAAAGAGACTGGTATCAAATTAAGATAGAATTAGTCTTGAATGGAGACTTTAGGAGTAATATAGCCATTTGTGCACCTTTGAACGTGTTGACATCAGGCAAAGACAGGCCAACTGGTGTGCATCAGGTGAGCTGGGAGGAAGTGGCCTGTCAAAGACTGTTTTCCTGGGATAAAACAGGTCTTTTCACAGGGTGTGTGCCCCACCAGAGGAGACAGGCACAAGGCAGCCTAGAATTAAAAGGTTGAAAATATCTACATCTTCAAGTCAGAAAACCAGAAATGCTCACTTATGGAGGACAGTCAGTGCCTTAAATATCTTAGTTTCACTCCCGTGTCACCTGTTTCCTGGAGCTGGGCACAGCCCTAGGTGGGATTTCACGTGATCTGTTTTATATTTAGAGAATTACTGACCTTAGAAGCCCTCCCAGGCGCAAAATGGTTACATAGATTGGCCACTGATGGTTGCCCTGTCAGTATACCACCGTAACACACACATACCTTTTTTACATATACATACATATACATTATATATATGTGTATTACTATTGCATTACAGCTATACATTATTACAACTACTAGGAGCCATTATATTAATAAATCAGACTATTCACCAGTCAAATTTCGGGCATGGCTTTCCCTTTTTTTTGGTATTTAATAGAGTAGCAATGACACCGTTCCTTCAAATAGAAAAGCCAAAGTTGCCTCATCTCAGAGATTCAAACAGCTCTCAATTTATATGCTGATTTCATGTGGACTAGACTGCAGTGGAATTTAAACGAGGCACCACAGAGAGAACCAAACACTCCGCATTTCCTAATTAGGTGAGCACTGAGGCTTGGATGATAGATGATGGGAACATCTAGGCAGGCATTGTGATGTGCTTTTAAAATTTTTTTAATGATTATAGGTTATGCTATTATAGAAATATATATGATTTTGATTTTGTTTACATGTACAATTTTCTCAAATTTGGAATTATAACCCCAACTTCATAGTTGAGGGGACAGAGGCTCATAGTGTGTATATAACTTGCACAAGTTCTCCCTGCTGGTTGGTAGGGGAGCCAGGGCTAGAAGACAAAGTCTGACTCCAGTGCCTGGATTCTTTCCTCCATCACACACTCTTTTTAGAAAGAATTTTTTTAAATTCTCACCTGAGGATATTTTTCCATTAATTTTTAGAGAGAGTAGAATGGAGGGGGAGAGACAGAGAGAGAGAGAAACATCAATGTGAGAGAGACACATCAATTGGTTGCCTCCCACCCGTGCCACAACCAGGCTTGGAGATCAAGCCTGCAACTGAGGTACCTGCTCTTGACCAGAATAGAACCCAGGCCCCTTCAGTCTGAGGGCTGACGTTCTATCCACTGAGCCAAACCAGCCAGGGGAATCACATACTCTCTTTAAACGATACTATTCCTCCTCCAGACCTGCCACTCCGGCATTTAACAGAGTACCCAAACCCATGATGATTACTCCACAACTGCTCATGGAATTGAGGTGAACCCAAGAGCAGACTTGTTCACCATGTAAGTGAACAGGACTTCAGTGGAAGAAGAAACCCAAGCAGCCACATAGACAAAGAGGTAAACAGAAACCTCAATGCCACACACTGCCTTCCTCACTGCCGCATCCAGCACAGGCAGGTTCCGTGAGCCTGAGGAGGGTTGGTGAAGGATTAAAGAGGACAGACAAAAGAATACAACTGGGGCTCGATGGAATGCTGCTTCTCTGATGGAGAGACAGCACCCTGGCCTGCAAGCCAAACCTTTATTTTATAATCAGAACACACAAAGCAAAACAAGGGTAGTGGTCAACATGTTTACAATGTTCTTGTGAGTTTCACCTTGCTTTGGCAGCACTTGCTGCACCTCCCACAGCCCATTGGCTACCTATGAAGGAGCTAGGGAGGACTATAAGGTCAAGCTGAATTATGCTAAGAGAGCTCTACCCTCCAAGGGATTGTTTTTTGTGGCCCTACCACAGGTCATTCCGAGGCTTAACCCTATAGCCGTTCCAGACACCTCACCACTTCCCAGCCCAAAGAAGAAAGACTTAAACATGACCCCCAAATTATTTCTGCATAAGTAGAATAAAGAATTCA